TCTTAACGTTACCTTCCCACCAAACAAATTTACTACACTGAGCGCCGCTTTCCCATTCCGCAGGTGCGAGGGGAAGATTAAATATCTCGGCATCTGGGTGACACACGACCCACGCGACCTTTACCAACACAATTTTGCCGCCATATTACGACAAGTAACATCGGACCTCGACCGATGGGCATATCCACACATCACTTGGCACGGCAGGATAGCGGTCCTCAAGATGAACGTGCTGCCACGGATCTTATACTTATTTCAAACCATCCCAATTTCGTTGCCGGCAGCTTTCTTTTCCAGCCTGAAATCGGCGGTCATCCGATATGTTTGGAGAGGGGAAAGATCCCGCCTTCGACACGAAACGCTCTGCCTCCCCAGGATCAGAGGAGGCCTGGCACTGCCGGACTTCAAAAAGTACCACCAAGCTACCACCATGCAACGTATCCTGGAGTGGCATGCAGCCGGGGACCCGAAACAATGGGTAACCCTGGACAGAGGAGACTCGGGGACCAAACTTAAAGCCGACGTGTGGAGGGAGGGGTCGGGTCTGTGTGGAACAGAGGAGGACGGCAATCCAGTGGCACAGACACTGAAGACCTGGAAATCGGCTAGAAGACTGGAACAGGTCTCCCCAACCCCCAGTCCTATGATCCCAATCACCCACAACCCCAATATCGGGGGAGGACTCCCCTATAGGACCTGGGCCTTTCTGGGGGAAAGGGAATATATCCCAATGTGCACGATCCTGGAAGGAGGTCAGATACGGTCCCTCAACTCACTACTAGCTGGCAGACCACAGACCCCCTTCCTGACCCTCCATTATCTACAACTAGCACACTATTACGAATCCTTACCCCACAAGGACCTCCTACACAGAGACCTTACGTGGTTCGAAAGCATATGCCGCAGAGGTTCCAAACTCGAGAACGCGGTATCTACGCTCTACCAACACCTGCTGATAGGGGCCTCTTCGGGTAATAATACATTTCAAAGACGATGGGAAACACAACTAGACATATCTATTACGCCAACACAATGGGGGACAGCGCTCCTATGGCAGCACAAAAGCTCCTCTAGCTCCTATTATCAGGAGGTCAATTATAAACTGATCTCCATGTGGTATAGGACCCCGGTTGCCCTACAGAAGATTTACCCAGAGGCGTCCCCACTCTGCTGGAGATGTCAAGATGCGAGAGGTACCATAGTACACTTATGGTGGGAATGCCATGCCATCGCACAATACTGGGATCATATCCACTCCGAAATAAAGGAGATCCTGGGGGCTGACACAGAATGGTCCCGAGAATTGGCCCTACTACATATTACTTCACAACCTATTCCCAGATATAAGAGATCAATTCTATGCCACCTATTGAATCCCTAATTCCAGAATACTGGAAGACAGCAACCGTTCCCATGACAGAAGAATGGCTCCATAAGGTCACAGACATACAGGCGGCAGAGGCAGTGCGGGCATCCCTGGCGGGGCGTTCGACAAGGCACGCGATGACGTGGCAACCCTGGTTCTTGTATCGGGCAGATAGATAGAGGGCCCATGCGGGGCGCATCGGGAGCGGGGGGGCGGGACGGACAGACCAGGATCCGTCACTTTTATTGGCCGTGCTTACCCCCCTATATAGGATACTCCATCTCGGGAGGAATTATGGCCCGTGGTAACATATGACCCCTTACCGACCCGAACTTATGCTCGCACACACTGGACAACCGACAACGTGGCATCACAAAACCCCTCCCGACACACACACGCCCAATCAACGCACACGATAGACTAAACTACAGTCTACAGGACACATCATACGGATGTGCAAACAGGAAGATGGAGCCCGAAGGGAAGGACCCAACACACAATATAGGGCCGGACCCCAGACGATCCCACTGAGACAATAACACAGCTTAGGTTCACACTGCATGACCAACGTGCTACCGTAAGCCGCTACGACAGGACCTGACGAAATCTCGACCATCGCACGCACGCTCACGGCCCGTTTCGGTTGGGCAGGAGAGTGCAGACACCAGGGAAGGCTCTCTTCGTACTTACACATCATTCCTTAACTTTCTTCTTCTCACCCTACAACACATTATATTCCTTGTTACTCATACGTCTCTCAGGGATATAAATCACTAACCTGACGAATGAAAGCAACATCTCTGTCTGACTATATCTAGGGGGTCGAACACCAAACGTGGAACATGCACCACGCAAACACACTAGATAATGTCTTGCAAACAAATACTGAGAATGCTCTTTTGTGCTGTATTTGTGCAAATAACATGTACGCTAACTATGCCTTAAACTGATATCGTGGTGTAATAGCCTTGAAGTTATGGGAACCTTCCAATGTAATGTTCTGAAGAATAACATATGTTGTAACATGTAATACTGCTTTTCGTTGAGGCCTGCGAGCCTCATTCTTCTCCCTCAATAAAACCAGATTTGCAAAAAAAAAAAATATATATATATCTTTTAAGACCAAATGCTTTATATATCTCCTTTGCCCTGAATAGATAGATTTATAGTAATGGATGATAAACGAAGGGACATCTGAATCAGTTGTTGAAGTTATAAAGAAAGGATGATTAAAGGGACACTATAAGCACCAAAGTAACTTTAGCTTATTGGTATAGATTTAATATATAGGTCAGGGGTTCCCAACCCAGTCCTCAAGTACCCCCTACCAGTCCAGGATTTAGAGATTACCCTTTCGTGTCTAAAGTGTTTTTTTTTTTTTTTTCCAAAACACCTTAGACACAATTGAGTAATCCTTAAATCCTGGACTGTTAGGGGGTACTTGAGGACTGGGTTGGGAACCACTGGTATAGGCAATGCCTCTGTACTCTAACTACTCAATGTTCTGCCACTTAGGAGTTATTTTTGTTTTTGCATGCCTATTTACACCTCTCCTGCATGTGACCTACACAGGCTCGCTACACATTTCCTGTAAAGAGAAATCTAATGTTTAAACTTAATAGCCTGCATGAGTCTCCTGTGTTTGAGTAGAGTTCAATTAACAGAGCAGCAGATAGAAACTTAAAACGTAAACACACTGTGTTGATTGAAATTGAAACCATTTTTGTCATGCATGTTAGTCACAACCAGGGGATGTGTGGCTAAGGCTGCATAAACAGAGAAAAAAAAAGAAAAAAAAAGTGTGATTGAACACGTGAATGGCAGAGAATTGAGAAGCGAAACTGCAGGGACATGATCTATACACTAAAACTTCTTTATTAAGCTAAAATTGCAAATAAAAAAAATTGAACAAGCGCAAGCAGAATATATATATATATAGATATGTTTATTTCAGTCCAGTGCTCGAACTATGTCGCATGACAACTTGTGAGAAATGTGAAGGGCACATGGACCCAGTGGAGAGCACTTCAGCAGCTCTCTTTGCATGGTCTTTTAGTTTCTGGGTAGGTTCATACCGTATATGTAGCGGAATGGACATTTGCCCCTATATTGGCTGTCCGTATCTCCCCCCTGTTATTTTTGTGCGTTTTGCCCCGGTTATTACAGGTGGTTCTTTTTTGGCCATTTGGGAGACTTTATACGAACGGAATCCATTCATCTCCAGAACAAGGACCACCCCAGTGCCCCATTAGAACATTAACACCAACCACTTAAGTGCGAAACCGCAAGGGAAACAATTAGAGTGCTTCTCCTGGGTGGCCGTCATTTCGTATAACGAAACACATGGCTGAGAGAATGGCGGCCATCTTGTCTCCCGAACAAGGGCAGCGGTACTTGGTCATCGAGTGCCTGGAACTATTTTCGGCTAGGCATTCGTGCGAACATCGGTAACCTGTCGACTGCTGCCTGTTCCTGACCACCTACATGAACGGCGTTCAGGAGATCTAAACTACTGAGCAGGGGGAGCGTTCGTACCCTGAAAGTGAGAGATTCCCTGGCATGGTTTTCGCATGGGAGCCCCACGAATGGAGACAGGCCAAGACACCTATTTCCCTGGAACGATTTTGGGCTAGCGTCTCGTGTGTGGCCGGTCAAATCCTCAATACGATGGCATTCCCATTCTACAGAACCGATCTGAGTAATTCTGGGATATGTTGGTCACTCAGATCGGGGCTATCCGGGAGCTGAGTGTCGTCCAGTTGATGGGGATGAGGTGGGAGATTCTTGGATTACTTTGCTGTGCCTGATTGTTCCATTGGATTGTGTTACTTGTTCCTGACTGTAATTTGGTGTAACCAGAGGAGGAAAGTCCCTACTAGGACTAAGGCTCCACTACAGTATATACATACAGACACATTTGCATGTATGCATAATATATAGACAGAACAGGAAATTACATTAACAAATTAACTATCTAATTTGGAGAATATATAGAAACCAAACTACTGCTAGACAAAAACCCAGTGACCTGAGAGATAAATACTACTTGGAGGGAAATGTTCCACAGAGGCAATTGGTTTGACAGTTGTTTTGAACAAATTGTCCAGAAAAGAACTCTTAGAAAGTTTCCAAAGCAACTTTACTGATTCAGTTCACTGGGAGGCCATTTAGAGGAAAAAGTTTTAGGTATAGAGAAATATAAGACTTGTGACAAGTTGAAGCTGGTATGCCAAGCAATGTACAAAGTAATATCTGAACACACAATATCTCTTTAGAAACCATTGACTGAAAAAAAAGTAAACATTAAACACAGCATGTTTTTTATGACATAAAGTGGAGAATATTGCCATAGAAACACTCCTCCATACACTATTGAATGTTCAGGTGATGGTGAGACAAATGCATAGTATTCCACTTTGCATCAATTACTGGTTCCCTTCCACAAGATGAGCATTCTTGGTATTTATTTTTGTTTTTACACTATATTTAGCATTGTCATGCTCCATTTCAAATAATTCTGCTATTTCATTTGTGTTTTCCAAAACATTCTGATAAAAATAAACATTATTGATTTAGACATCTGATCATTCAACCCATCAGTCACAAAGTAAAAGAGTTCAACCTGAGAAGAGTGATGGCTTTTAAAGCAAGATAAGGTGATATCATCATGAAGAAGCCATTTCATTACATGAACATATTATACATGCAGAAAGAGAAAGCTGCAAACAGAAATATGGACTTTTTACTGTGCTTAAACTAGAACCAATACACAATTTTAAAGATGGTGGGGCACTGACCCAAGATTTTTTTGGTCTCTGCCTACTTAAACCCACGTACTCAACCCCTGACCAACTGAAAGATCATAGTAAAGACAAAAAGGGAATTGGAGGCACACCTGGAACATGCATTTTGCAGAAATAGTGCTGCTGTCGTGACCAAAATGTATACATAATACAGGAACAGCACACACACAAAAATACAGTTTTAAACTTTAGTCATTGATTAGCTGCAGGGCCGGTGCACAGATTTTCGCCCTAGGCAAACAAAAAGTTGCTGCCCCTCCTACCCCATTTGCTCTGCCCACCATCTGACATCACAATGCCCCACCCATATGGGCCAACGCCAGTGCTGCACACAGTGTCTTTTCTTAGAAAAGGCAGTGTGTTTACATTAAATATCCTGCAGGGACAGGCTGTAAAACACCATAATGTCACATTAATGTGAGGTAAATTAGAGATTAGTGCCACTAATAATATATGGATTGCCTACTTACCACCAGATGAGCACAAGAGGATAATAATGGGCTCAGGCTGCAGTCTGGCTCCACTGGTCTAGTGTAGAACAAGCTCTCTGGAGGCTGTTTGTAACAGTGCTCACAAAAATCAACTAACAGGAAGCAGCTCCGTTTGTTGGGGCCTCTTACACAGCTCAATGTCTGGACCCCAGGGCCTAACCGTGAGTATGCGTACAAGGCCCACCCATGAGTCCACCTGCATGGACCACCCATGAGTTCGCTCGCAGGGAGTGGAGTGTATGTGTGTAGGGGATGTGTTGTGTGTTATTATAGAGAATGTAAAGTGTATGTGTTCTTATGGAATGTAGTGTATAGGGATACCAATTTGTGTAAGGGATGTGGTGTGTGTGTGTATAGGGGATGCAATGTGTATTTGTGTGTAAGGAATAAATTGTGTGAATCTGTGTTTGTATGTGTAAGAGATGCAAGGGGTATGTTTCTGTGTATATATGTAATGTAATGCAGTGCATGTGACTGTAAGGGTTGCATTGAGTGTAAGAGATGCATTTTATTTCTGTGTGTGTGTAAGAGAAGCAGTGTGTGTGCGCTTAAAGGATGCATTGTGTTTTTGTATGTAAAGGATGGTGTGTGTGTAAAGGATGCATTGTGTTTGTGTAAGTGAAGCATTG